TCCTGCTTGTTATTCAGAACTGACGACTGGGTGAATCGACATTGGAATTTACACTGAATCTAAATTTTGGAAGCTTATTCGACGACGACTAGATTGAATCTTTTCGAAGAGCAATTGAATCTTGAATTTACACTGCAGCATTCCTGCTTGTTATTCAAGAACGACTGGGGTGAATCTTTAGAAGAGCAACTAATGAATCTTTAGAAGCATACCTGCTTGCAACTGACGACCAGACGAATCTTTTGAATCTATTGAATTTACACTGCAGCATTCCTGCTTGTTATTCAAGAACTGACGACTGGGTGAATCTTTCGAAGAGCAACTATTGAATCTAGAATTTACACTGCAGCATTCCTGCTTGTTATTCAAGAACTGACGACTGGTGAATCTTTCGAAGAGCAACTATTGAATCTTGAATTTACACTGCAGCATTCCTGCTTGTTATTCAAGAAGACGACAGGGTGAATCTTTCGACTATTGAATCTTAGAATTTACACTGCTGCATTCTGCTTGTTTTCAAGAACAGACGACTGGACGAATCTTTCGAAGAGCAACTATTGAATCTAGAATTTACACTGCAGCATTCCTGCTTGTTATTCAAGAACAGACGACTGGGTGAATCTTTCGAAGAGCAACTATTGAATCTTGAATTTATTGCAACATTCCTGCTTGTTTTCAAGAACTGACGACAGGGTGAATCTTTTCGAAAAGCAACTATTGAATCTAGAATTTTCAACATTCCTGCTTGACGACGACTGGACGATTCTTTTGAACAGCAACTATTAAATCTAGAATTTACACTGGAAAGCATTCGTACTTGAATTATTACAAGAACAGTCGACGGGGGTGAATCTTTCAAAAGAGCAACTATTGAATCTAAATTTACACTGCAACATTCCTTCTTTTATTCAAGAACTGACGACTGGGTGAATCTTTTGAAGAGCAACCATTGAATCTAAATTTACACTACAGCTTTCGTGCTTTTTCTAGAATAGTCGACTGGGTGAATATTTCGAGGAGCAACTATTGAATCTAGAATTTACACTGCAGCATTCTTGCTTGTTTTCAGAATAGACGACAAGGTGAATCTTTCGAATAACGACCATTGAATCTAGAATTTACACTGCTGGATTCCTGCTTGTTTCTTCAGAACTGAAGATTGGGTGAATCTTTGAAGGGATTGATGAATCTAGAATTTAATCTGCAGCATTCTGTTATTTTGAAGAGCAACTATTGAATTAGAATTTACACTGCAGCATTCCTGCTTGTTATTCAAGAACTGACGACGGTGAATCTTTCGAAGAGCAACTATTAAATCTTGAATTTACACTGCAGCATTCGTGCTTGTTTACAAGAACAGACGACTGGGTGAATCTTTCGAAGAGCAACTATTGAATCTAGAATTTACACTGCAAGCATTCCTTGCTTGTTATTCAAGAACAGACGACTGGGTGAATCTTTCGAAGAGCAACTATTGAATCTAAATTTACACTGCAGCATTCCTGCTTGTTATTCAAGAACAGACGACTGGGTGAATCTTTCGAGCAACTATTGAATCTAGAATTTACACTACATTCCTGCTTGTTATTCAGAACTGACGACTGGGTGAATCTTTTAACTATTGAATCTAAATTTCCACAACATTCTTACTTTCTACAGAAAGTTGATTGGGTGAATCTTTTCGAAAGTAACTATCTAAATTTCTAGAATTTTCACTGCCAAGAACAGACGACTGGCATTCCCAACTGTTATTCAGAAGAACACTTTGGACGATCTTTCCAAGAACAACGTTTGGTTGAATTATTTAGAATTTAGAACTGCAACTTCCGAAGAGCAACTATTGAATTAGAATTTCAGCAAACTTGACGACTGGGTGAATCTTTCGAAGAGCAACTATTGAATCTAAATTTACACTGCAGCATTCCTGCTTGTTATTCAGAACGAACGACTGGACGAATCTTTTGAAGAGCAACTATTGAATCTAGAATTTACACTGCTGCATTCCTGTTTGTTATTCAGAACAGATGACGACTGAATCGAAGAAGAGCAATTGAATCTAGAATTTTCACTACAGCATTCCTGCTTGTTATTCAAGAACAGACGACTGGGTGAATCTTTCAAGAGTAACTATTGAATCTAGAATTTACACTGCAGCATTCCTGCTTGTTATTCAAGAAGAGGGGTGACGACTGGGTGACATCTTTTAGAAGAGAATCTTCCAAGAGCAACTATTGAATCTAGAATTTACACTGCAGCATTCCTGCTTTTTGTTTTTCAAGAACAGACGACTGGACGAATCTTTCGAAGAGCAACTATTGAATCTAGAATTTACACTGCAGCATTCCTGCTTGTTATTCAAGAACTGACGACTGGGTAAATCTTTAGAAGAGCAACTATTGAATCTTTAGAATTTACACTACAACATGCGTGCTTGTTATACAAGAACAGACGTCTGGGTGAATCTTTTCCAAAAACAACTATTGAATCTAGAATTTTACACTGCTGCATTCCTGCTTGTTATTCAGAACAGACTGGGTGAATCGACTGGACGAATCTTTTCGAAGAAGACGACTGGGTGAATCTTTCAACTATTGAATCTAGAATTTACACTGCAGCATTCCTGCTTGTTATTCAAGAACTGACTTAAGGGTGAATCTTTGGAAGACCAACTATTGAATCTAGAATTTACACTGCAGCATTCTTGCTTGTTGTTCAAGAACAGACGACTGGACGAATCTTTAGAAGAGCAACTATTGAATCTTGAATTTAAACTGCAGCATTCCTGCTTGTTATTCAAGAACAGACGCCTGGGTTAATCTTTCGAAGAGCAACTATTGAATCTAGAATTTACACTACAGCATTCGTGCTTGTTATTCAGAACAGACGACTGCGAATCTTTCCAAAGAACAACTATTGAATCTAGAATTTACACTGCAGCATTCCTGCTTGTTCTTCAAGAACAGACGACGGGTGAATCTTTGAATAGTAACTATTGAATCTAGAATTTACACTGCAGCATTCCTGCTTGTTATTCAAGAATAGACGCCTGGGTGAATCTTTCGAAGAGGAATTATTGAATCTAGAATTTACACTACACAGCACTTTCATCAAGAACAGACTTGTTCTTTCAAGAACAATTACTGACGAGAATTTGGGTGAATCTTGTTTTCAGAAGAGCAACTATTGAATCTTGAATTTACACTGCAGCATTCCTGCTTGTTATTCAAGAACTGACGACTGGGTGAATCTTTAGAAGAGCAACTATTGAATCTAGAATTTAAACAACAGCATTCCTGCTTGTTATCCAAGAACAGACGACTGGGTGAATCTTTCCAAGAGCAACCATTGAATTTAGAATTTACACTGCTGCATTCCTGTTTTGTTATTCAGAACTGACGACAGGGTGAACTCTTTCCAAGAACAATTATTGAATCCAGAATTTACACCGTACATTCCTGCTTGTTGTTAAAGAACAGACGACTGGGGAATCTTTAGAAGAGGAACTATTGAATCTAGATTTAAACTGCAGCATTCCTGCTTGTTATTCAAGAACTTCGACGACTGGGTGAATTCAGAAGTAAACTATTGAATGTAGAATTTACACTAAAGTATACGTACTTTTCATGCTACCAACAGCCGTTTGTGAATCTTTCCTTTGAGCAACTATTGAATCTAGAATTTACACTGCATTCTTGCTTGTTATTCACGAACAGACGACTTGACGAATCTTCGAAGAGCAACTATTGAATCTAGAATTTAATTGCAGTATTCTGCTTGTTATTCAAGAACAGACGACTTGACGAATCTTTCAAGAGCAACTATTGAATTAGAATTTATAATTTTAGTATTCCTGCTTGTTATTCATGAACAGACGACTGGACGAATCTTTCGAAGAGCAACTATTGAACGTGAATTTATAATTGCAGTATTCCTGCTTGGTTATTCAATGAACAGACGACTTGATTTAATCTTCGAAGAGCAACTATTGAATTCAGAATTTTACACCGCAAGTATTCCCATTGTTATTCACGAACATGACTTGACGAATCTTTCGAAGAGCAACTATTGAATCTTGAATTTATACGCAGCATTCCTGCTTGTTATTCAAGAATGACGACTGGACGAATCTTTCGAAGAGCAAATCATTGAATCTGAATTTACACTGCAGCATTCTGGGTTGTTATTCACGAACAGACGATTTGACGAATCTTTCGAAGAGTTAACCATTGAATCTTGAATTTTAATTGCAGCATTCCCGTTGTTATTCAAGAACAGACGACTGGACGAATCTTTTCGAAGAGCAACTATTGAATCTTAGAATTTACACTGCAGTATTCCCCTGCCGTTATTCACGAACAGATTGACTTGACGAATCTTTCTGATGTAACATTGAATCTTGAATTATACTCGCAGCATTCATTCCACTTATTCTCATCTCGAATCTTTCGAAGAGCAACCACCTAATCTAGAAGCATTCAGTATTCCCCTTTTCTCGAACAGATCTGGACATTTCTTTCGAAGACCACCTAATTGAATCTAGAAGCATTCATCTTTCCACTTTTCTCTCATCTCATTTCTCACGGTAACCACCGAATTTTCGAAGAGCATTCATTGAATCTACTTTTTACTCATCCCCCATTTCTCTTGTTAACGAATGACACTTTAATTGCACTTCGAAGCATTCATCTTTCCGCTTTCTCATCTCCATTTCTCAAGAACAGACCACCTAAAAATTGAATCTAGAAGCTAATTCATCTTTTCTGCTTGATATTCAAGATCTTACGATTAGAATCTTTAACCACCTGAATCTAGAACTGCAGCATTCATTCCGCTTGTTTACAAGAATCTCAGGCAATTTCTCAGAGCAACTATCGAATCTAGAATTTACACTGCTGCATTCCTGCTTGTACTTCAAGGACAGACCATTCTCCGAAGCAACCACTTGAATTTACTTTTTCAGCATTCATTCCAGAATTGACTCTCATCTCTCCATTTCTCGAATGCAACCACCCGAAGTGCTCCATCGCAGCATTTGCTTGTTCTTCAAGAACTTTTCTCATCTGAATTTCTCATGTAACGACCATTGCACTAGATTCATTCACTTTTTCTCTCATCCATTTCTCATGAACCAGAAGACTGCAGCATTCATCTTTCCACTTTTTCTTGAATCTAGAATTTCTCATGCATATACCAAGCTTGTTATTCAAGAACTGACAAGCATTCATCTTTCAACTTTTTCTCTCAAATCTCCATTTCTCGTACTTAACCACCTAATTGAAATAGCATCCCATTCGACTTTTCCAAGAGCCATTTCTATTGAACCTAGAATTTGCACTGCAGCATTATCTTTCCACTTTTCTCTCATCTCCATTTCTCATATAACCACTAATTGCTGCAGCATTCATCTTTCCACTTTTTCTCTCATCTCCATTTCTCATATAACCACCTAGTGCACTGCAGCATTCATCTTTCCTTTTCTCCTCTCCATTTCTCTATAACCCTTTCTATCATCAAACCCTCTCACTCCTGCCCTTTTCTCATCTCTCCATTTCTCTATTACCCTTTCTATCCCATCCGACCCTCTCACCTCCTCCTGCCTGTTTCTCTCTCTCCATTTCTATTACCCTTTCTATCCCATCTGACCCTCTCCTCCCTGCCTTTTCTCCTCTCCATTTTCTCATGTAACCACCCTTTCCCCATCCGACCCTCTCACTCCTGCATGTTTCTCCTCTCCATTTCTCTATTACCCTTTCTATCATCCAACCCTCTTCACTCCTGCATGTTTCTCTCCTCTCCATTTCTCTATACCCACTTTCTAATCCCTCTCCGACCTCACCTCCTGCATGTTTTCTCCTCTCCATTTCTATTACCCCTTTTATCCCATCCGACCTCTCCTCCTGCATGTTTTCCTCTCCATTTCTCTATCTCCCTTTCTATCATCATCCCCCACCCTCTGCATGTTTCATCCTCTCCATTTTCTATACCCTTTCTATCCACGACCCTCTCATCTCTGTTTTCTCCTTTTTCCATTTCTCTATTACCTTTTCTATCCCATCCGACCACTCCATCCTGCATGTTTTCTCCCTCTCCATTTCTCTGTACCCTTTCTATCCCATCCGACCCTCTCCTCCTGTTTCTTTTTCTCCATCTCCATTTCTACCCTTTCTATCCCATCCGACCCTCTCACTCCCACCCTCTTTCTCCTCTCCATTTCTCTCATCTTTCATTTCTCATCAAACCCTTCTCCCCTGCATGTTTTCTCTCTCCATTCTCTATTACCCTTTTATCCCATCAAACCCTCCATTTCTCAGTTTTCTCCTCTTCTCTATTACCCTTTCTATCGCATCCGACCCTCTCCTCCTGCCTGTTTTCTCCTCTCCATTTCTCTATTACCCTTTCTGCTCTGCTATCCCATTCATCCTGCCCCTTTCTCTTCTCTCTCCATTTTCTCATTAACCACCTTATCTGCTCTGCAGCATCTCATCTTCTGCATGTTTTCTCCTCTCCATTTCTCTATTGCCTTTTTACCATCCGACCTCTCACTCCCACCATTTTTTCCTCTCCATTTCTCTATTACATTTCTTATCCCATCCACCCCTCTCTCCTTCCAGTTTTCTCAATTTCTCCATTACCCTTTCTATCCCATCCACCCTCTCCTGCATGTTTTCTCCTTTTTCTCCTATCCCATCCACCCTATTTCCCCTTTCCAATTTCTCTTCTCCATTTCTATTCACTTTTCTATCCCATCGACATTTCTCCTGCATGTTTCACCATAATTCTCTACCAGCCTTTCTATCCCAGAAACTCTCATTTCTCCTGCATGTTTCTCCTCTCCATTTCTCTATTACCTTTTATCCCATCCGACCTCTCATTCCTGCATGTTTTCTCCTCTCCATTTCTCCTATTACCCTTTTTCCCTTCAAACTCCCATTTCTCCCTATCTATCTCCATTTTCTCCTCTCCATTTCTCTATTACCCTTTCTATCCCATCCGACCCTCTCCTCCCCTGCCTGTTTTCTCCTCTCCATTTTCTCTATTACCCTTTCTATCCCATCAAACCCTCTCTTCCTGCTGTTTTCTCCTCTCCATTTCTCTGTACCCTTTCTATCCCATCCGACCCTCTCACTCCTGCCTGTTTTCTCCTCTCCATTTCTCTTATTACCTTTTTATCCCATCCGACCCTCTCACTCCTGCATGTTTTCTCTCTCCATTTCTCTATTACCCTTTCTATCCCATCCGACCCTCTCACTCCTGCATGTTTTCTTCTCTCCATTTCTCTATTACCCTTTCTTTCCCATCCGACCGACCTCTCCTCATGTTTTTTCTCCATTTCCTGCCTTTTTTCAAGCCCTCTCTGCCTGTTTCTCATTTTTCTATTACCCTTTCTATCCCATCCGACCCTCTCACTCCTGCATGTTTTCTCCTCTCCATTTCTCTATTACCCTTTCTATCCCATCCGACCCTCTCACTCCTGCATATTTTCTCCTCTCCATTTCTCTATTACCCTTTTCTATCCCATCAACCCTCTCACTCCTGCCTGTTTTCTCCTCTCCATTTTTCTATTACCCCTTCCCATCCACCAAGCCCTCACTCCTGCATGTTTTCTCCTCTCCATTTCTCTATTACCCTTTCTATCCCATCCGACCCTCTCACTCCTGCATGTTTTCTCCTCTCCATTTCTCTATTACCCTTTCTATCCCATCCGACCCTCTCACTCCTGCATGTTTCTCCTCTCCATTTCTCTATTACCTTTCTATCCCATCCGACCCCTCTCACTCCTGCATGTTTTCTCTCTCCATTTCTCTATACCCTTTCTATCCCATCCGACCCTCTCACTCCTGCCTGTTTTCTCTCTCCATTTCTCTATTACCCTTTCTATCCCATCCGACCCTCTCCTCCTGCCTGTTTTCTCCTCTCCATTTCTCTATTACCCTTTCTATCCCATCTGACCCTCTCACTCCTGCATGTTTTCTCCTCTCCATTTCTCTATTACCCTTTCTATCCCATCAAACCCTCTCCTCCTGCCTGTTTTCTCCTCTCCATTTCTCTATTACCCTTTCTATCCCATCCGACCCTCTCACTCCTGCATGTTTTCTCCTCTCCATTTCTCTATTACCCTTTCTATCCCATCCGACCCTCTCCCTCCTGCCATGTTTTCTCCTCTCCATTTCTCTATTACCCTTTCTATCCCATCCGACCCTCTCCTCCTGCCTGTTTCTCCTCTCCATTTCTCTATTACCCTTTCTATCCCATCCGACCCTCTCCTCCTGCATGTTTTTCTCCTCTCCATTTCTCTATTACCCCTTTCTATCCCATCCGACCCTCTCACTCCTGCATGTTTTCTCCTCTCCATTTCTCTATTACCCTTTCTATCCCATCCGACCCTCTCACTCCTGCATGTTTTCTCCTCTCCATTTCTCTATTACCCTTTCTATCCCATCCGACCCTCTCACTCCTGCCTGTTTTCTCCTCTCCATTTCTCTATTAACCTTACTATCCCATCCGACCCTCTCACTCCTGCATGTTTTCTCCTCTCCATTTCTCTATTACCCTTTCTATCCCATCCGACCCTCTCACTCCTGCCTGTTTTCTCCTCTCCATTTCTCTATTACCCTTTCTATCCCATCAAACCCTCTCTCCCCTGTTTTTCCTCTCCATTTCTCCCCTTTTTTTCTCCTCATGTTTTTCATCATTTCTCTATTACCCTTTCTATCCCATCCGACCCTCTCCTCCTGCCTGTTTTCTCCTCTCCATTTCTCTGTTACCCTTTTCTATCCCATCCGACCCTCTCACTCCTGCCTGTTTTCTCCTCTCCATTTCTCTATTACCCTTTCTATCCCATCCGACCCTCTCACTCCTGCCTGTTTTCTCCTCTCCATTTCTCTATTACCCTTTCTATCCCATCCAACCCTCTCACTCCTGCATATTTTCTCCTCTCCATTTCTCTATTACCCATTTTCTATCATCCCCAGTTTCCCTCTCCTCCTGCATGTTTTTCTCTCCATTTCTCTATTTACCCTTTCTATCCCATCCGACCCTCTCACTCCTGCCATGTTTCTCCTCTCCATTTCTATTACCCTTTCTATCCCATCCGACCCTCTCCTCCTGCCAGTTTTTCTCTCCATTTCTCTATTACCCTTTCTATCCCATCCGACCCTCTCCTTTCCTGCATGTTTTCTCCTCTCCATTTCTCTATTACCCTTTCTATCCCATCCGACCCTCTCACTCCTGCCAGTTTTCTCCTCTCCATTTCTCTATTACCCTTTCTATCCCATCAAACCCTCTCACTCCTGCATGTTTTCTCCTCTCTCCATTTCTCTATACCCTTTCTATCCCATCCGACCCTCTCACTCCTGCCTATTTTCTCCTCTCCATTTCTCTATTACCCTTTCTATCCCATCAAACCTCTCACTCCTGCCTTTTTCTCTCTCCATTTCTCTATTACCCTTTCTATCCCATCCGACCCTCTCCTCCTCCCAGTTTTCTCCTCTCCATTTCTCTGCCAACCCCCTTTCTATCCCATCCTGCCAGTTTCTCCTCTCATTTCTCTACCCTCTCCCATCAAACCTTTTCTCTCTCCATTCTCCATTTCTCTATTCCTTTCTATCCCATCCAAACCCTCTCACTCCTGCCAGTTTTTCTCCTCTCCATTTCTCTATTACCCTTTCTATCCCATAACCCCTCTCACTCCTGCATGTTTTCTCCTCTCCATTTCTCTATCTCCCTTTCTATCCCATCAAACCCTCTCCTCCTGCCTGTTTTCTCCTCTCCATTTCTCTATTACCCTTTCTATCCCATCAAACCCTCTCACTCCTGCATGTTTTCTTCTCTCCATTTCTCTATTACCTTTCTATCCCATCCAACCCTCTCACTCCTGCATGTTTCTCCTCTCCATTTCTCTATTACCCTTTTCCCATCCGACCCTCTCACTCTCATGTTTTCTCTCCATTTCTCTATTACCCTTTCTATCCCATCCGACCCTCTCTCTCCTGCCTGTTTTCTCCTCTCCATTTCTCTATTACCCTTTCTATCCCATCAACCCCTCTCCTCCTGCACTTTTTCTCCTCTCCATTTCTCTATTAACCTTTCTATCCCATCCGACCCTCTCCTCCTGCCAGTTTTCTCCTCTCCATTTCTCTATTACCCTTTTATTCCATCCGACCCTCTCACTCCTGCCAGTTTCTCCTCTCCATTTCTCTATTACCCTTTCTATCCCATCCGACCCTCTCCCTCCTGCCTGTTTTCTCCTCTCCATTTCTCTATACCCTTTCTGTTCCAACCCTCTCCTCCTCCACTTTTCTCTTCTCTCCATTTCTCTATTACCCTTTCTATCCCATCCAAACCCTCTCACTCCTGCCTTTTTTCTCCTCTCCATTTCTCTACCCTTTCTATCCCATCCGACCCTCTCTCCTCCTGCATGTTTCTCCTCTCCATTTCTCTATTACCCTTTCTATCCCATCAAACCCTCTCCTCCTGCATTTTCTCCTCTCCATTTCTCTATTACCTTTCTATCCCATCCACCCCTCTCCTCCTGCCAGTTTTCCCTCTCCATTTCTATTACCCCTTTCTATCCCCATTTCTCTTTCCCTTTGTTTCTCCTCTCCATTTCTCTATTACCCTTTCCTATTCCATCCGACCCTCTCCTCCTGCCCATTTCTCTCTCCATTTCTCTTTCCCCTCCCATCCCACCCTCTCCTCCTGCATGTTTTCTCTCCATTTCTCTATTACCCTTTCTATCCCATCCGACCCTCTCACTCCACTTTGTTTCTCTCTCTCCATTTCTATTACAAACCCTTTCTATCCCATCCCTCTCCTCTCTACCTCCTGCATGTTTTCTCCTCTCCATTTCTCTATTACCCTTTCTATCCCTCCGACCCTCTCCTCCTGCCTGTTTTCTCCCTCTCCATTTCTCTATTACCCTTTCTATCCCATCCAACCCTCTCACTCCTGCCATGTTTTCTCCTCTCTCCATTTCTCTATTACCCTTTCTATCCCATCCAACCCTCTTTCTCCTGCCATGTTTTCTCCTCTCCATTTCTCTATTACCCTTTCTATCCCATCCGACCCTCTCCCTCCTGCCAGTTTTCTCCTCTCCATTTCTCTATTACCCTTTCTATCCCATCCGACCTCTCCTCCTGCATGTTTTCTCCTCTCCATTTCTCTATTACCCTTTCTATCCCATCCGACCCCCTCTTTCTCCCCTGTTTCTCCTCTCCATTTCTCTATTACCCTTTCTATCCCATCCGACCTCTCTCTCCTGCATGTTTTTCTCCTCTCCATTTCTCTATTACCCTTTCTATCCCATCCGACCCTCTCCTCCTGCCTGTTTTCTCCTCTCCATTTCTCTATTACCCTTTCTATCCCATCAAACCCTCTCCTCCTGCCAGTTTTTCTCCTCTCCATTTCTCTATTACCCTTTCTATCCCATCCGACCCTCTCTCCTCCTGCATGTTTTCTCCTCTCCCATTTCTCTATTTAACCCTTTCTATCCCATCCGACCCTCTCCTCCTGCCTGTTTTTCTCTCTCCATTTCTCTATTACCCTTTCTATCCCATCCGACCTCTCCTCCTGCCTGTTTTCTCCTCTCCATTTCTCTATTACCCTTTCTATCCCATCCGACCCTCTCACTCCTCCATTTTCTCCTCTCCATTTCTCTATTACCCTTTCTATCCCATCCGACCCTCTCTCCCTGCATGTTTCTCCTCTCCATTTCTCTATTACCCTTTCTATCCATCCACCCTCCCTCTCCTTGCCTCTTTTCTCCTCTCATTTTCTATCCCTTTCCTGACCCTCTCCCCTCCTGCCATTTTCTCCTCTCCATTTCTATTACCCTTTCTATCCCATCCATGTAACCCCTCTCACTCCTGCCTGTTTTTCTCTTTAACCACCCTAATTGCACTGCAGCATTCCCTTTTTCTCCATCTCCATTTTCCCTTTCTGCAGCATTCATCTTTCCTTTTTCTCTCTATCTCCATTTCTCATTTTAACCACCTCTAATTGCACTGCACCATTCATCTTTCCACTTTTCTCTCATCTCCATTTCTCAATAACCCCTTTTTCAGCATTCATCTTTCCACTTTTTCTTCATCTCCATTTCTTTTTACACTCAGCATTCATCTCCACTTTTCTCTCATCTCCATTTGTAACCCTAATTGCTCTCCCATCCATTCCTCTCTTTTCTCTCATCTCCCATTTCTCTGTAACCACCTAGTCTGTTTTCCACTTTTCTCCATCTCCATTTCTCATGTAACCACCTGCATTGCATTCAGCATTCATCTTTCCACTTTTCTCTCATCCCATTTCTCATGTAACCACCTATTTTCTCTGCAGCATTCATCTCACTTTTCTCTCATCTCCGCTTTCTCATTAACCACCTAATTGCCCTGCAGCATTCATCTTTCCACTTTTTCTCTCCATTTCTCCTGTAACCTGTTTCTCATTCATTCCACTTTTTCTCATCTCCATTTTTCACCCTTTCTCTGCAGCATTCACCCTCTTTCCACTTTTTTCTCTCATCTCCATTTCTCATTAACCACTTTCTATCCCTTTCTCGACCCATTTTCTCTCAACCACCTGCCAGCATTTTTTTCCACTTTTCTCTCATCTCCATTTCTCATCCCAACCACCTAATTGCCCTGCCTGTTTCTCCTTTCTCTCTCTCCATTCTTGTAACCACCTTTCATTATCCCTCTCCTCCATTTCTCACTAACCACCCTGCAGTTTTCTTTTCTCTCCATTTCTCTGTCCTTTTTTCTCATCTCCATTTCTCAAAACCCTCTCACTCTCTTCCACTTTTCTCTCTTCTCCACCTTTTTCTCATCCCATTTCTCATTTTTCCATCTCCATTTCCCTGCCTGTCATTCCCTTTTCTCTCATCTCCATTTCTCATCTCAACCACCTAATTTCCCTGCAGCATTCAGCCCTCTCACATTTCTCATGCCCAACCACCCCATTTTTCTCCTCTCCTTTTCTCATATTACCACTTTTCTCCAGCATTCATCTTTCCACTTTTTCTCACATTTCTCACTCCACTTTTCTCTTTTCTCTCTCCATTTTCTCTATTACATTCACCTATTCCAGGGCAGCCCTCTTTTTCTGCTTTTTTCTCATCTCCATTTCTCTCATGTAACCACCTAATCCCACTGCATTCATTCCACTTTTCATCTCATTTCTCCTAACCTTTTTCTCTTTTCTCATCTCCATTTCTCTATTTCCTCCCTTTTTCTATCCTCATCCGAACCCTCTAACTCCTCCAGTTTTTCTCTCCCTTTTCTCTATTCCCATTTTCTATCCCATCTGACCCTCTCACTCATTCATTTTTCCTCTTTTCTCTATCTCCCTTTCTCATCCCATCCACCCCACTCACTCCAGCATGTTTCTCTCCATTTCTCTCATCTCCACTTTTTCTATCCCATCAACCCTCTCACTCATTCATCTTTCCCTTTTTTCTCTCTCCATTTCTCTATTACCTTTCTATCCCATCCGACATTCATTCCAGCCTTTTTCTCTCTCCATTTCTCTATTAACCACTTAATTCCCATTCATTCCATTTTCTCCTCCCTTTAACCACCTCTCCCATTTCTTTTCTTCATCTCCATTTCTATCAACATCAACCACCCTCTCCTTTTTTCTCCTTCATTTCTTTTAACCACCTCCTTTTTCTCTCATCTCCCTTTTCTCATTTTTTCCACCTAATTGCAACCACCACTCCCTGCATTCATTCCACTTTTCTCTCATCTCCATTTCCCACCCCTTTCTATCCTAATTTCTCTCATCTCCATTCATCTTTCCCTTTTTCTCACTTTTCCCTCCATTTCTCATTAACCACCTTTCCCATTCCTCACTCTTTCTCATCCCATTTCTCTCCACCTAATTGCACTGCAGCATTCATTTTTCTCCTCTCTTTTCTCTTTAACCACCCCTGCCCATTCAACCCTTTTCTCTCTCTCCATTCTCATGTAACCACCCTAATTTCTCTTCTCCATTTCTCTTTCCCTTTTCTCTCATCTCCATTTCTCATGTACCCACCTCCATTCTCTGCAGTTTCATCTTTCCCTTTTCTCTCTCCTCCATTTTCTATCCCATTTCCAATCACCCCCAGGGCCGACCCATTCATTCCACTTTTTTCTCATCTCCATTTCTCATTAACTTTCTATCCCATCTGCACCATTCTCTTTCCACTTTTTCTTTCCAGTTTTCTCCTCTCATTTCTCCATTCATTCCTTTTTCTCTCATCTCCATTTCTCTCTGTAACCACCCTCTCCATTCATCTTTCCCCTTTTTCATCTTTCCTCCCTTTTCTCCCTCTCCTTTCTCATCTCAACCACCTAATTCTAATTCCTCCAGCCATCTCATTTCCTCTTTTTTCTCCTCTCCATTTCTCTATTAACCACCTATTCCATCCGACCCTTTCTTCTCCTGACATGTTTTAACCACCTAATTATTTCTCATTACCCTTTTTCTCCCATCCAGACCCTCTAACCTCCTAATTTCTCCAGCATTCATCTTTCCTCTTTTTTCTCATTACCTTTCTCCCATTCAACCTTTCTCATCTCCATTTCTGCAACCACCTGTTTTCTCCTCTCTTTTCTCTCATCTCCATTTCTCATCCCATCCACCTCCCTTGCTCTGCCCTGCCAGTTTTCTCCTCTCCATTTCTCTATTACCTAATTTCAACATTCCATCTTTTCTCTCATCTCCATTTCTCTCCTAACCACCATTTCCTCATTCCCTTTTCTCTCATCTCCATTTCTTTCCTCCTGTTTTCTCATTCTCCATTTCTCTATAACCATCTAAACCCTCTCCTCCTGCATGTTTTCTTTTCTCCCATTTCTCCATTTCTCTTTCCATCCCATCAAACCCTCTCTCATTCATCTTTCCTCTTTTCTAACCACCTAATTCTCCCCTCCATTTCTCATCCAATTTCTCCTCCACCTATTCCCTTTCTCTCAGCCAGTAACGCTTGCCATCTTTCCACTTTTTCTCTCATCTCCTTTTCTCATGTAACCACCTAATTCCTGCTGTTTTTCTTTCCACTTTTTTCTCATCTCCCTTTCTATCCCAGCATTCCTCACTTTTCTCCTCTCCATTTCTCTCCAACCACCCTAATTTTTTCAGCATTCATCTTCCACTTTTTCTCTCATCTCCATTTTCATGTAACCATCTAACCCTCTCACTCCCCTGCCACTTTTCTCTTCTCCTCTCTAACCATTTCTCTATTCATCTCCCTTTCTCATCTCCATCCACCCTCTTGCTCTGCAGCATTTTTCTTTCCACTTTTTCTCATCTCCATTTCTCATTAACCACTTTAACCTCTGCAGCATTCATCTTTTTTCTCTCTCTCCATTTCTCAGCCCTTTCTATCACACTCCGACCATTCATTCCTGCCTTTTTCTCCTCTCCATTTCTCTATTAACCTATCCCATCCGACCCTCTTCATCTTGCCACTTTTTTCTCTCTCATTTCTCATGTAACCACTTTCTATCACTCCAGCATTCTCTTTTTCCACCTTTTCTCTCTCTCCATTTCTCATGTAACCACCTTTCTACACTGCAGCATTCCTCTTTTTCTCTCATCTCCATTTGTTTAACCACCTAATTCCATCATTTTCCTTTTCTTACCCTTTCTCATGTAACCCTCTTACCCTTTCAGCATTCACCTCCCACTTTTCTCTCATCTCCATTTCTCATTTTTCCATTTTGCAGCATTATTTTCTTTTCATTTCCCATTTTCATGTCCACCTAATTGACCCTCTCATTCCTGCCTTTTTTCTCCTCTCCATTTCTCTGCAACCACCTAATTTGCACTGCAACATTCATCCCACTTTTCTCTCATCTCCATTTCTCACTCCTGCATGTTTCACTTTTCTCTCCATTTCTCATATAACCCTTTCTATTCCATCATTCCACCCTCTTCCTCCATTTCTCTGCTTTCTTTCTCATCTCCCTTTTTCTCTCCATTAACCACCTAATTCCCATCCGACCCCTCTTTTCCACTTTTTTCTCATCTCCATTTTTCTATTCATTCCACTTTTTCTCATCCCATTTCCATACTTAACCACCTAATTTCCTGCCATTTTTTCCTTTTCTCTCATCTCCATTTCTCATTACCCTTTCATTCCATTGCCCTGCTGCAGCATTCATCTTTCACTTTTCCTTCTCTCCATTTTCTCCTCATTCCATTTCTATTACTCATCTCCATTTCTCAAACCATTCTCTGCAGCATTCATCTTTCTTTTTCTCTCATCTCCATTTTTTAACCACCTATCTCCCATTCTCACTTTTCTTACCTTTCTCCATAACCACCTAATTGCCCTGTCATCTTTCCTTTTTCTCTCATCTCCATTTCTCAATTTTTCTCATTCATCTCCTTTCTCCTCCATTTTCTCTAACCACCCTAATTGCACTCATTCATCCCATCTCATTCCCTCTCCTAATTCCCCTTTTTCTCCTCTCCATTTCTCTATTACCCTTTCTATCCCATCAAACCCATTCATCCTTCCACTTTTCTCTCCTCTCCATTTCTCTATTCCCTTTCTATTCCATCCGACCCTCTTCACACCCTGCCAGTTTCTCTCCTCTCATTCCATTATTACAACCACCTATCCCATCAAACCCTCTCTCTCCCTGCCATTTTTTCCTCTCTTTTCTCTCATTCCTTAGCTCTCATCTGACCCTCTCACCTAAAACCAGCATTCCCTTTCCTTTTCTCTCATCTCCCTTTCTCATCCCCCTAAACCCTCAGCATTCATCTTCCATTTTTCTCCTCTCCATTTCTCTATAACCACCCCTTTCACCCATTCATCCATTCTCTCATTGCCTTTTTCTCCTCTCCATTTCTCATTAACCACCTAATCCCATGCAGCATTCATCTTTGCCACTTTTCTCTCTCTCCATTTCTCATGCCAACCACCCTTTCAGCATTCATCTTTCCCTTTCTCTCATCTCCATTTTCTCTCCACTCATCCATTCATTTCCCTTTCATCCCATTTCTCATGTAATCTTCTCTATTTTTCTCTCTCCATTTCTCATGCAAAACACCCTAATTCCTGCCTATTCCTTTTCTTTCCATTTCTCTCATCTCCATTTCCACTTTGTATCTCCCAACCTAATGGTGCTACCTTCAACATTCTCTCTTTCCATTTTTTCTCTCATCTCCATTTCTCAAACCACCCTTATTCATTGCTTTTTCTCATCCCATTCATCTTTCCAGCATTCATCTTTTTTCTCTCATCTCCATTCTCATGTAACCACCTAATTGCACCAGCATTCATTCACTTTTCTCTTTCCATTTCTCATTAACCACCTAATTTACTGCAGCATTCATCTTTCCACTTTTCTCTCATCTCCATTTTCTCATGTAACCCCCCTAATTGCACAGCATTCCCTTTTTCATCTCCATTTCTCCTTTTCTCTCATCTCCATTTCTCATGTAACCACCTAATTGCCTGCAGGGTTTCATTTTCCACTTTTCTCTCATCTCCATTTCTCATGTAACCTAATTTTCAGCATTCATCTTTCCACTTTTTCTCTCATCTCCATTTCTCAACCACCCTAATTGGGCATTCATTCCTTTTTCTCCCATTCATTTTCACTTTTCTCTCATCTCCACTTTTTTTTTTCATTCTCATGTAACCACCTAATTGCACTGCAGCATTCATTCCTTTTCTCTCATCTCCATTTCTCATGTAACCACCTAATTTTCTGCAGCATTCATCTTCCACTTTTTCTCTCATCTCATTTCTCTCTTCTCCCTTTTTCTCATGTAACCACCTAATTGCTCTCATTCATTCCACTTTTCTCTCATCTCCATTTCTCATGTAACCACCTAATTGCACTCATTCATCTTTCCACTTTTTTCTCTCATCTTTTCTCATGTTTTCTCATCTCCATTTCCAGTAACCACCTAAATTGCTCTGCAGCATTCATCTTTCCACTTTTCTCTCATCTCCATTTCTGCCAACCACCTCCCTCTCATCATCAACCTCATCTCCATTTTCATCACTACCTGCAGCATTCATCTTTCACTTTTTCTCTCATCTCCATTTCTCATATAACCACCTAATTGCACTGGGCATTCACTTTTCTTTCCACTTTACCTCTTTCTCCATTTCTCACTTTTTCTCTCATCTCCCTCATTAACCACCCTAATTGCTCTGCAGCATTCATCTTTCCACTTTTTCTCTCTTCATTTCTCCATGTAACCACCTAATTTGCTGTCACTTTTCTCTCATTCTCTTTTTCTCTCATCTCCATTTCTCATGTAACCACCTAATTTGCACTGCTACCTTCATCAGCTTTTCTCTCATCTCCATTTTCTCATGTAACCACCTTTCAGCATTGTTCCCTTTTCTCTCTTTCCATTTAAACCACCTAATTGCCTTTTCTCTCAGCATTCATCTTTCACTTTTCTCTCATCTCCATTTCTCATGTAACCACCTAATTGTCAGGGCAGCATTCATCTTTCCCTTTTCTCTCTCATCTCCATTTCTCTGCAGGGCTAACCCCCTTTCTCATCACTGCAGCATTCATCTTTCACTGCAGCATTACCTCTCATCTCCATTTCTCATGTAACCACCTAATTGCTCTGCAGCATTCATCTTTCCCTTTCTCTCTCTCCATTTCTCATTTTAAAGCAGCATTCATCTCCTTTTTCTCTTTCTCATTTCTCTTTAACCACCTATTTCACTGGCATTCATCTTTCCACTTTTCTCTCATCTCCATTTCTTAACCACCTCTCTGCAGCATTCATTCCACTTTTTCTCTTCTCCATTTCTCATTTCAACCAATAATTGCTTGCACATTCATCTTTCCACTTTTCTCATCTCCATTTTCTCATATAACCACCCTATTCTTTCAGCATTCATTTCTTTTCTCTCATAACCACCTAATTGCACTGCAGCATTCATTCACTTTTCTCTCATCTCCATTTCTCTTTTCTCTGCAGCATTCATCCACTTTTTCTCATCTCCATTTCTGTGCCAACCACCTAATTGCTCTGCAGCATTCATTCCACTTTTTCTCTCATCTCCATTTCTCATGTAACCACCTAATTGCACTGCAGCATTCATCTTTCCACTTTTCTCTCATCTCCATTTCTCATGTAACCACCTAATTGCACTGCAACATTCATTCCACTTTTCTCTCATCTCTCCATTTTCTCATGTAACCACCTAATTACTGCAGCATTCATTCCACTTTTTCTCTCATCTCCATTTTTCATGTAACCACCTAATTGCACTGCAGCATTCATCTTTCCTCTCATCTCCATTCTCTCTAATTCATCTCCATTTCTCCATTTTAACCACCTAATTGCACTGCAGCATTCATCTCCATTTCCATGTAACCACTTTTTCTCTGCAGCATTCATCTTTCCACTTTTTCTCTCATCTCCATTTCACCTAACCACTAAGTGCACTGCAGCATTCATTTCCACTTTTCTCATCTCCATTTCTCATGTAACCACCTAATTGCTGCAGCATTCATCTTCCACTTTTTCTCTCTCTTTTTCTCATATAACCACCTAATTGCACTGCGGCATTCATCTTTCCACTTTTTCTCTCATCTCCATTTCTCTAACCACCTAATTGCACTGCATTCCACATTCATCTTTCCACTTTTTCTCTCATCTCCATTTTCTCATGTAACCACCTAATTGCACTGCAGCATTCATTCCACTTTAACCACCTCTCTCATCTCCATTTCTCATGTAACCACCTAATTGCACTGCAGCATTCATCTTTCACTTTTCTCATCTCCATTTCTCATGCAACCACCTAATTGCACTGCAGCATTCATTTCCACTTTTCTCTCATCTCCATTTCTCATACTAACCACCCTAATTTCTGCAGCATTCATCTTTCACTTTTCTCTCATCTCCATTTCTCATGTAACCACCTAATTTACTGCAGCATTCATCTTTCACTTTTCTCATCTCCATTTCTCATGTAACCACCTAATTGCACTGCAGCATTCATCTTTCCACTTTCTCTCATCTCCATTTCTCATGTAACCACCTAATTGCACTGCAGCATTCATCTCCACTTTTTCTCTCATCTCCATTTCTCATGTTAACCACCCCTAATTGCACTACAGCATTCATCTTTCTTTTCTCTCATCTCCATTTCTCCTCTTAACCACCTAATCTGCAGCATTCATCTTTTCCACTTTTCTCTCATCTCCATTTCTCATGTAACCACCTAATTTACTGCACTGCATCTTTCCATCTCATTCCATTTCTCACTTTCAGCATTCATTCATTTTCTCATTTCTCATGTAACCACCTAATTGCACTGCAGCATTCATTTCCACTTTTTCTCTGTCTCCATTTCTCATGTAACCACCTAATTTCTGCACATTCATCTTTCCACTTTTTCTCTCATCTCCATTTCTCATTAACCACCCTAATTGCACTGCAGCATTCATCTTTTCTCTCTCCATTTTCTTTAACCACCTCTCATCTCTCTTTTCTCTCTCCATTTCTCATGTAACCACCTAATTTGCACTGCAGCATTCATCTTTCCACTTTTCTCTCATCTCCATTTCTCAGCCTTAACCACCTAATTGCTCTGCAGCATTCATTTCCACTTTTTCTCTCATCTCCATTTTCTCATACCAACCACCTAATTGCACTGCAGCATTCATTCACTTTTCTCTCATCTCCATTTCTCATGTAACCACCTAATTGCTCACAGCATTCATCTTTCCACTTTTCTCTCATCTCCATTTCTCATGTAACCACCTAATTGCACTGCAGCATTCATTTCCACTTTTCTCTCATCTTTCCACCTTTTGCAGCATTCATCTCACTTTTCTCTCTCCATTTCTCATGTAACCACCTAATTGCACTGCAGCATTCATCTTTCACTTTTTCTCTCTCTCCATTTCTCATGTAACCACCTAATTGCACTGCAGCATTCATTCCACTTTTCTCTCATCTCATTTCTCATACTTAACCACCTAATTTCTCATGTAACCACCCTAATTGCTCTTCATTCTTTCCACTTTTCTCTCATCTCCATTTCTCATGTAACCACCTAATTGCTCTGCAGCATTCATTCACTTTCTCTCATCTCCATTTCTCATTTTTGCAGCTCTCCATTTCTCCATTTCTCATATAACCACCCTAATTGCACTGCAGCATTCATCTTTCCTTTTTCTCTCATCTCCATTTCTCATGTAACCACCTAATTGCACTGCAGCATTCATCTTTCCACTTTTTTTCTCATCTCCATTTTCTCATGTAACCACCCCTAATTGCTCTGCAGCATTCATCTTTCACTTTTTCTCTCATCTCCATTTCTCATGTAACCACCTAATTGCACTGCAGCATTCATTCCACTTTTCTCTCATCTCCATTTCTCCATGTAACCACCTAATTTGCACTGAGCATTCATCTTTCACTTTTCTCTCATCTCCATTTCTCATGTAACCACCTAATTGCTCTGCAGCATTCATCTTTCCCTTTTCTCTCATCTCCATTTCTCATGTAACCACCTAATTTGCTCTGCCTCTTCATTCCTTTTTCTCTCATCTCATTTCTCATGTAACCACCTAATTGCACTGCAGCATTCATCTTTCCACTTTTCTCTCATCTCCATTTCTTGTAACCACCTAATTGCACTGCAGCATTCATTCCCTTTTCTCTCATCTCCACCTAATTGCTCTGCAGCATTCATCTTTCCACTTTTCTCTCATCTCCATTTCTCATGCTAACCACCTAATTGCTCTGCAGCATTCATCTTTCACTTTTCTCTCATCTCCATTTCTCATGTAACCACCTAATTGCATTTCTCAACCCATTCATCTTTCCACTTTTTCTCTCATCTCCATTTCTCATGCACTGCAATTCATCTTTCCACCTAATTGCTCTGCAGCATTCATCTTTCCACTTTTCTCTCATCTCCATTCTCATGTAACCACCTAATTGCTCTGCAGCATTCATCTTTCCACTTTTTCTCTCATCTCCATTTCTCATTTAACCCACTAAATTGCTCTGCAGCATTCATTTCCTTTTTCTCTCTCCATTTCTCATTCTAATTGCTCTGCAGCATTCATCTCACTTTTTTCTCTCATCTCCATTTCTCATGTAACCACCTAATTGCTCTGCAGCATTCATCTTTCCACTTTTTCTCTCATCTCCATTTCTCATGTAACCACCCTAGCATTCATTCCCTTTTGCAGCATTCATTTCTCATTCCACCTTTTCTCTCATCTCCACTTTTTCTCATCTCCAACCACCACCTAATTGCACTGCAGCATTCATTCTTTCCACTTTTTCTCTCTCCATTTCTCATAACCACCTAATTGCACCACAGCATTCATCTTTCCACTTTTCTCTCATCTCCATTTCTCATGTAACCACCTAATTGCACTGCAGCATTCATCTTTCCACTTTTTCTCTCATCTCATTTCTCATGTAACCACCTAGTGCACTGCAGCATTCATCTTTCCTTTTTCTCTCATCTCATTTCTCATGCTTAACCACCCTAATTTATCTACAGCATTCATCTTTCACTTTTCTCTCATCTCCATTTCTCATGTAACCACCTAGCATTTGCACTGCAGCATTCATCTTTTCCACTTTTCTCTCACTTTTCTCCATTTCTCATGTAACCACCTAATTGCTCTGCAGCATTCATCTTCCACTTTTCTCTCATCTCCATTTCTCATGTAACCACCTAATTGCTCTGCAGCATTCATCTTTCCTTTTTCTCTCATCTCCATTTCTCATCTAACCACCTAATTGCTAATTGCTCTGCAGCATTCATCTTTCCCTTTTTCTCTCATCTCTCCATTTCTCATACTTTTCTCAACCACCTAATTGCACTGCAGCATTCATCTTTCCACTTTTTCTCTCATCTCCATTTCTCATGTAACCACCTAATTGCACTGCAGCATTCATCTTTCCACTTTTTCTCTCTCATCTCCATTTCTCATGTAACCACCTAATTGCACTGCAGCATTCATCTTTCCCTTTTTCTCTCATCTCCATTTCTCATGTAACCACCTAATTGCTCTGCAGCATTCATTCCACTTTTCTCTCATCTCCATTTCTCATTAACCACCTAATTGCACTGCAGCATTCATCTTTCCACTTTTCTCTCATCCATTTCTCATGTAACCACCTAATTGCACTGCAGCATTCATCTTTCCACTTTTTCTCTCATCTCCATTTCTCATGTAACCACCTAATTGCTCTGCATTCATTCATCTTTCCACATGCATTATTCCACTCTTTTCTCTCATCTCCATTTCTCATCTCCAACCACCTAATTGCACTGCAGCATTCATCTTTCCACTTTTTTTCTCTCTCCATTTCTCATTTCCCACCTAGTGCACTGCAGCATTCATTCTAATTTTCTCTCATCTCCATTTCTCATGTAACCACCTTTTCTCTCATCTCACTTTTTCTCTCATCTCCATTTCTAACCACCCTAATTGCACTGCAGCATTCATCTTTCCACTTTTCTCTCATCTCCATTTCTCCCTTAACCACCTAATTGCACTGCAGCATTCATTCCCTTTTCTCTCATCTCCATTTCTCATGTAACCACCTAATTGCACTGCAGCATTCATCTTCACTTTTCTCTCATCTCCATTTCTTTTAACCACCTAATTCTACAGCATTCATCTTCCACTTTTCTCTCATCTCCATTTCTCATGTAACCACCTAATTTGCTCTGCAGCATTCATCTTTCCACTTTTTCTCTCATCTCCATTTCTCATGTAACCACCTAATTGCACTGCAGCATTCATCTTTCCACTTTTTTCTCTCATCTCCATTTCTCATGTAACCACCTAATTGCTCTGCAGCATTCATCTTTCCTTTTTTCTCTCATCTCCATTTTCTCATGTAACCACCTAATTGCACTGCAGCATTCATCTTTCCACTTTTCTCTCATCTCCATTTTCTTAACCTAATTGCTTTGCAGCATTCATCTTTCCCTTTTCTCTCATCTCCATTTCTCATGTAACCACCTAATTGCTCTGCAGCATTCATCTCCACTTTTCTCTCATCTCCATTTCTCATGTAACCACCTAATTGCTCTGCAGCATTCATCTTTCCACTTTTCTCTCATCTCCATTTCTCATGTAACCACCCTAATTGCACTGCAGCATTCATCTTTCACTTTTTCTCATCTCCATTTTCTCATGTAACCACCTAATTGCACTGCAGCATTCATCTTTCCCTTTTCTCTCTCATCAGCATTTCTTTCCTTAACCACCTCCATTTCTCTGCAGCATTCATCTTCCCCTTTTTCTCTCATCTCCATTTCTCATGTAACCACCTAATTGCTCTGCAGCATTCATCTTTCCACTTTTTCTCTCATCTCCATTTCTCATGTAACCACCTAATTGCACTGCAGCATTCATCTTTCCACTTTTTCTCTCATCTCCATTTCTCATGTAACCACCTAATTGCTCTGCAGCATTCATCTTTCCACTTTTCTCTCATCTCCATTTTCTCATGTAACCACACCTAATTGCTCTGCAGCATTCATCTTTCCACTTTTCTCTCATCTCCATTTCTCATGTAACCACCTAATTGCACTGCAGCATTCATCTTTCCACTTTTCTCTCATCTCCATTTCTCATGTAACCACCTAATTGCTCTGCAGCATTCATCTTTCCACTTTTCTCTCATCTCCATTTCTCATGTAACCACCTGCAGCATTCCATCTTTCCACTTTTCTCTCATCTCCATTTTCTCATTAACCACCTAATTGCTCTGCAGCATTCATCTCCATCTCCTTTTTCTCTCATCTCCATTTCTCCCATTCCAACCACCTAATTGCACTGCAGCATTCATCTTTCCACTTTTTCTCTCATCTCCATTTCTCATGTAACCACCTAATTGCTCTGCAGCATTCATCTTTCACTTTTCTCTCATCTCCATTTCTCATGTAACCACCTAATTGCTCTGCAGCATTCATCTTTCCACTTTTCTCTCATCTCCATTTCTCATGTAACCACCTAATTGCACTGCAGCATTCATCTTCCCTTTTCTCTCATCTCCATTTCTCATGTAACCACCCCTAATTGCTCTGCAGCATTCATCTTTCCACTTTTTCTCTCATCTCCATTTCTCATGTAACCACCCTAATTGCTCTGCAGCATTCATCTTTCCACTTTTCTCTCATCTCCATTTCTCATGTAACCACCTAATTGCACATTCATCATTCATCTTTCTCCACTTTTTCTCATCTCCATTTCTCATTAACCACCTAATTGCACTGCAGCATTCATCTTTTCCACTTTTTCTCTCATCTCCATTTCTCATGTAACCACCTAATTGCTCTGCAGCATTCATCTTTCCACTTTTCTCTCTCATCTCCATTTCTCATGTAACCACCTAATTTCTTTGCACTGCAGCATTCATCTTTCCACTTTTTTCTCATCTCATTTCTCATTAACCACCTAATTGCTCTGCAGCATTCATCTTTCCTTTTTTCTCTCATCTCCATTTCTCATGTAACCACCTAATTTGCACTTTGCATTCATTCCACCTTTTCTCTCATCTCCATTTCTCATGTAACCACCTAATTTGCAGCATTCATCTTTCCACTTTTCTCATCTCATCTCCATTCTCATGTAACCACCCATCTTTCATCTTTTCCTTTTCTCTCATCTCCATTTCTCATGTAACCACCTAATTGCACTGCAGCATTCATCTTCCACTTTTCTCTCATCTCCATTTCTCATGTAACCACCTAATTGCACTGCAGCATTCATCTTTCCACTTTCTCTCATCTCCATTTCTCATGTAACCACCTAATTGCTCTGCAGCATTCATCTCATCTCCATTTCTTTTCTCTCATCTCCTTTTTCTCATCTCCATTTCTCATGTAACCACCTAATTGCTCTGCAGCATTCATTTCCACTTTTTCTCTCATCTCCATTTTCTCATATAACCACCTAATTGCACTGCAGCATTCATTCCACTTTTTCTCTCATCTCCATTTCTCATGTAACCACCTAATTGCACTGCAGCATTCATCTTTCCACTTTTTCTCTCATCTCCATTTCTCATGTAACCACCTAATTGCACTGCAGCATTCATCTTTCCACTTTTCTCTCATCTCCATTTCTCATGTAACCACCTAATTGCACTGCAGCATTCATTCCACTTTTCTCTCATCTCCATTTTCTCATGTAACCACCTAATTGCACTGCAGCATTCATCTTTCCACTTTTCTCTCATCTCCATTTCTCATGTAACCACCCTAATTGCACTGCAGCATTCATCCACTTTTCTCTCATCTCCATTTCTCTAACCACCTCATCTTCCATTTCATTTCTCATGCATGTAACCACCTAATTGCACTGCAGCATTCATCTTTCCACTTTTCTCTCATCTCCATTTCTCATGTAACCACCTAATTGCACTGCAGCATTCATCTTTCCACTTTTTCTCTCATCTCCATTTCTCATGTAACCACCTAAATTGCTCTGCAGCATTCATTCCACTTTTCTCTCATCTCCATTTCTCATGTAACCACCTAATTGCTCTGCAGCATTCATCTTTCCACTTTTCTCTCATCTCCATTTCTCATGTAACCACACCTAATTGCACTGCAGCATTCTTTCCACTTTTCTCTCATCTCCATTTTCTCATGTAACCCACCTAATTGCACTGCAGCATTCATCTTTCCCTTTTCTCTCATCTCCATTTCTCATGTAACCACCTAATTGCACTGCAGCATTCATCTTTCCACTTTTTCTCTCATCTCCATTTCTCATGTAACCACCTAATTGCACTGCAGCATTCATTCCACTTTTTCTCTCATCTCCATTTCTCATGTAACCACCTAATTGCACTGCAGCATTCATCTTTCCACTTTTCTCTCATCTCCATTTCTCATGTAACCACCTAATTGCACTGCAGCATTCATCTTCCACTTTTTCTCTCATCTCCATTTCTCATGTAACCACCTAATTGCACTGCAGCATTCATTCCCTTTTTCTCTCATCTCCATTTCTCATGTAACCACCTAATTGCACTGCAGCATTCATCTTTCACTTTTTCTCTCATCTCCATTTCTCATGTAACCACCTAATTGCACTGCAGCATTCATCTTTCCACTTTTCTCTCATCTCCATTTCTCATGTAACCACCCTAATTGCACTGCAGCATTCATCTTTCCCTTTTTCTCTCATCTCCATTTCTCATGTAACCACCTAATTGCACTGCAGCATTCATCTTTCCACTTTTTTCTCTCATCTCCATTTCTCATGTAACCACCTAATTGCACTGCAGCATTCATTCCACTTTTCTCTCATCTCCATTTCTCATGTAACCACCTAATTGCTCTGCAGCATTCATCTTTCCACATTTTCTCTCATCTCCATTTCTCATGTAACCACCTAATTGCACTGCAGCATTCATCTTTCCACTTTTTCTCTCATCTCCATTTCTCATGTAACCACCTAATTGCACTGCAGCATTCATCTTTCCACTTTTCTCTCATCTCCATTTCTCATGTAACCACCTAATTGCACTGCAGCATTCATCTTTCCACTTTTTCTCTCATCTCCATTTCTCATTAACCACCTAATTGCACTGCAGCATTCATCTTTCCACTTTTTCTCTCATCTCCATTTCTCATAACCACCTAATTGCACTGCAGCATTCATCTTTCCACTTTTCTCTCATCTCCATTTCTCATGTAACCACCTAATTGCACTGCAGCATTCATCTTTCCACTTTTTCTCATCTCCATTTCTCATGTAACCACCTAATTCTCAGCATTCATCTCCACTTTTCTCTCATCTCCATTTCTCATGTAACCACCTAATTGCACTGCAGCATTCATCTTTCCACTTTTTCTCTCATCTCCATTTCTCATGTAACCACCTAATTGCACTGCAGCATTCATCTTTCCACTTTTCTCTCATCTCCATTTCTTGTAACCACCCCTAATTGCACTTTTCTCCATTTCTCATCCACTGCATTCATTTTCTTTTCTCTCATCTCCATTTCTCATGTAACCACCTAATTGCACTGCAGCATTCATCTTTCCACTTTTTCTCTCATCTCCATTTTCTCATGTAACCACCTAATTGCACTGCAGCATTCATCTTTCCACTTTTCTCTCATCTCCATTTCTCATGCATTAACCACCTAATTTTGCACTGCAGCATTCATCTTTCCACTTTTCTCTCATCTCCATTTCTCATGTAACCACCTAATTGCACTGCAGCATTCATCTTTCCACTTTTCTCTCATCTCCATTTCTCATGTAACCACCTAATTGCACTGCATTCATCTTTCCACTTTTCTCTCATCTCCATTTCTCATGTAACCACCTTTTCAGCATTCATCTTTCCACTTTTTTCTCTCATCTCCATTTCTCATGTAACCACCTAATTGCACTGCAGCATTCATCTTTTTCTCATCTCCATTTCTTAACCACCCTAATTCTCATTCATTCACTTTTCTCTCATCTCCACACTTCTCTCATTTCTCATGTAACCACCTAATTGCACTGCAGCATTCATTCCACTTTTTTCTCTCATCTCCATTTCTCATGTAACCACCTAATTGCACTGCAGCATTCATCTTTCCACTTTTTCTCTCATCTCCATTTCTCATGTAACCACCTAATTGCTTTTCTGCAGCATTCATCTTTCCACTTTTTTTCTTTTCTCTCATCTCCATTTCTCATGTAACCACCTAATTGCACTGCAGCATTCATCTTTCCACTTTTCTCTCATCTCCATTTCTCATGTAACCACCTAATTGCACTGCAGCATTCATCTTTCCACTTTTTCTCTCATCTCCATTTCTCATGTAACCACCTAATTACTGCAGCATTCATCTTTCCACTTTTTCTCTCATCTCCATTTCTCATATAACCACCTAATTGCACTGCAGCATTCATCTTCCACTTTTCTCTCATCTCCATTTCTCATGTAACCACCCTAATTGCACTGCAGCATTCATCTTTCCACTTTTCTCATCTCCATTTCTCATGTAACCACCTAATTGCACTGCAGCATTCATCTTTCCACTTTTCTCTCATCTCCATTTCTCATGTAACCACCTAATTGCACTGCAGCATTCATTTCCACTTTTTCTCTCATCTCCATTTCTCTAACCACACCTAATTGCACTGCAGCATTCATCTTTCCACTTTTCTCTCATCTCCATTTCTCATGTAACCACCTAATTGCACTGCAGCATTCATCTTTCCACTTTTCTCTCATCTCCATTTCTCATGTAACCACCTCCAATTGCACTGCAGCATTCATCTTTCCACTTTTTCTCTCATCTCCATTTCTCATGTAACCACCTAATTGCACTGCAGCATTCATTCCACTTTTCTCTCATCTCCATTTCTCATTAACCACCCTAATTGCACTGCAGCATTCATCTTTCCACTTTTTCTCTCATCTCCATTTCTCATGTAACCACCTAATTGCACTGCAGCATTCATTTTCACTTTTCTCTCTCATCTCCATTTCTCATGTAACCACCTAATTG